TTGAACTCCAGCCTGGGCAACAAGAGCGAAACTCCATCTGAAAAAAAAAAAGAAAAAAAAGAATCATTGAGATTTTAGAAGCCTCTCCAGATTCAGATTCACAAGGACTGGAGTAGTAGCCAGGAAATCTGTATATATAACAAGTAGCCTGGGGAATTCGGATGTTGGTAGGTAGTTCAGGGACTACATTTTGAAAGAATATTGAATTAGTGAGAAACTTGGGAATTGCCTACATCTTGATATTTTTCCCTCCCCTTTATTCCTTCATTACTTTCTTTTGTGTCCCAGGAATTAGTTGTAAGCATCAGTGTGTACCCAATTTGCACCCTCAGTTGGTACTAAGTAGCAAAAAGAAAATTCATTTATTTACTATTCCATCTTTTAATGTATGTGTGTTTTGATTTGGCTGTGCACTAAGAAAAGTCAACAAAAATGGTTATTTCAGTACTATTCCAGACTGTGTGAGAGGGTAATTCTGACAGAATACTTTTGACTACTAACAGTTGAGCACCCACAAGTCTTGGCATTATAAGGGAGTAAAAACAGAAATATACATAATCTCCCCTCTGAAGATTACAGTATTCCCCCCTTATCCTTAGGGGATATGTTTCAAGACCCCCACTGGATGCTTGAAACCACAGATAGTACTGAACACTATATATACTGTGTTTTTTTCCTATACATACATACCTATGATAAAGTTTAGTTTATAAATGAGGCACAGTAGTAGATTAACAATAACATAATACAGTAGAACAATTACAATAATATACTGTGATAAAAATTATGTGAATGTGGTCTCTCAGAGTATCTTAGTGTACTGTACCACAGGTGACTGAAACCTCAGTAAGTGAAACCATGTACAAGGGGAGACTACTGTATATCTTGTTAGAAAGTGGGTAAACATCCAGAAAAATGACTTAAAGGGTGCTTAGCAGTAAGAAAATCATGATCTGGCTTGATTGAGGGTAGTCCAGGTCGCTTCCCTTTGTATGATTTGAGGGTTTCTTATATAAAGACATGCCTCTGCCATCTGGAACAGGCAATAAAAATGGTTAGAATCTCTAATTTGGTTCTGCAGTATATTTATTTATTTGTGGATTTCGGCACACATAAATAGGACTAGGCCAAAAACGGCATCTGGAAAATTAAAGGGGCTACTCACAGTACACTGGATTTAGAACTTCTCTGGGTTGACCTCATAATCATGAAACTGCATTTGCTCACAGAAATGAAAAGTAGAGAATAAATGGAGGTGAAAGAAATTCACCTTGAGAGAGGAATTACCGGCCGGGCACGGTGGCTCATGCCTGTAATCCCAGCACTTTGGGAGGCCGAGGCAGGTGGATCACCTGAGGTCAGGAGTTCAAGACCAGCCTAACCAACATAGTGAAACCCTGTCTCTACTAAAAATATAAAAATTAGCTGGGCGTGGTGGCACTTGCCTGTAATCCCAGCTACTAGGGAGGCTGAGGCAGGAGGATTGCTTGAATCTGGGAGGTGGAGGTTGCAGTGAGCCGAGATCGTGCCACCGCACTCCAGCCTGGGTAACAGAGCAAGACTCTGTCTCAAAAAAAAAAAAAAGAGAGAGAGGAACTCCCTTTAGGGAATTGAATTATTTCTTATTTATTTATTTATTTATTTATTTATTTATTTATTATTTTTTGGAGACAAAGTCTCGCTCTTGTCCCCCAGGCTGGAGTGCAATGGCGCAATCTCGGCTCACTGCAACTTCCACCTCCGGGTTCAAGCAATTCTTCTGCTGCAGCCTCTCCAGTAGCTGGGATTACAGGCACCTGCCACCACACCCAGCTAATTTTTTGTGTTTTTTTTAGTAGAGATGGGGTTTCACCATGTTGGCTATGCTGGTCTTGAACTCCTGACCTCAGGTGATCTGCCTGCCTTGGTCTCCCAAAGTGTTGGGATTACAGGTGTGAGCCACTGCAACCAGCCTATTTTATTATTTTCTTTATGTTTTTATTTTAATTAATTAATTTATTTTTTGAGACGGAGTCTTGCTCTGTCACCAGGCTGGAGTGCAGTGGCCCAATCTCGGCTCACTGCAAGATCCACCCTCCGGGTTCATGCCATCCTCCTGCCTCAGCCTCCTGAGTAGGTGGGACTACAGGCACCCGCCACCACGCCCAGCTAATTTTTTGTATTTTTAGTAGAGTTGGGGTTTCACCACATTAGCCAGGATTGTCTCGATCTCCTGACCTTGTGATCCGCCTGCCTTGGCCTCCCAAAGTGCTGGGATTACAGGTGTGCGCCCCCGCACCCGGCCTATTTTATTATTTTCTTTTTGAGACAGATTCTTGCTCTGTCCCCCAGGCTGGAATGCAATGGCGTGATCTTGGCTCACTGCACCCTCCACCTCCCAGTTTCTATCGATTCTCCTGCCTCAGCCTCCTGAGTAGCTGGGATTACAGGTGCCTGCCACCACGTCTGGCTAATTTTTGTATTTTTTTTAGTAGCGATGGGTTTTCACCACGTAGGTCAGGCTGGTCTCGAGCTCCTGACCTCAGGTGATCCACCCACCTCGGCCTCCCAAAGTGTTGGGATTACAGGTGTGAGCCACCAGGCCTGGCCTTTTTTTTTTTTTTTTTTTTTTTTTAAAGAGACTAGGCCAGGTGTGGTGGCTCACACCTATAATCCCAACACTTTGGGAGGCCAAGGCAGGAGGATCACTGTGCCTAGAAGTTTAAGACCAGTCTGGGCAACACAGTGAGACCCCCATCTCTACAAAAAATAAACAAAATTAGCTGGGCATAGTGGCATGCACCTATGATCTCATCTACTCTAGAGGCTGAGGTGGGAGGATCACTTGAGCCCAGGAGGTGGAGGCTGCAGTGAGCCAAGATCACACCACTGCACTCCAGGCTGGGTGACCGAGTGAGACCCTGTCTCAAAATATATAAATATACAAGTAGATAGATAGATAGATAGATAGATAGATAGATAGAGAGAGACAGGTCTATGTTGGCCAGGCTGGTCTTGAACTCCTGACCTCAAGCAATCCTTCCACCTCGGCCTCCCAAAGTGTGCAAGCCACGGTGCCCAGCCTAGGGAATTTTAAGTTCTGGTATTGAGGGGAAAACGCCTTTCAAAGTTCCAAAGATACAAAAAATTTTCTTTTAAAATAGTTGTATAGCAGCCTGGCGCGGTGGCTCACGCCTGTAATCTCAGCACTTTGGGAGGCTGAGGCAGGCGGATCATGAGGTCAAGAGATCAAGATCATCCTGGCCAACATGGTGAAACCCCGTCTCTACTAAAAATACAAAAAAATTAGCTGGGCATGGTGGCGCGCACCTGTAGTCCCAGCTTCTCGGGAAGCTGAGGCAGGAGAATCGCTTGAACCCGGCAGGTGGAGGTTGCAGTGAGCTGAGATCACGCCACTGCACTCCAGCCTAGTGACAGAGCAAGACTCCATCTCAAAATAAATAAATAAATAAATAAATAAATAAATAAATAAATAAATAGTTGTTTAGCTTCTTTCCCTTGGAGAAATTGCCCATAAGGCTTCTCTGATGAACAATATTGAAGAAGTATTATGGGAAGGAAAAAAAAAAGAAAACATGCTTAGGATGTTACTACTGTTTTAAAAAGCATTTTCATATATATCAGCTGGAAGATTTGTTGCTTTTTTTTCTTTTGTTTCGGTAGTTTGGTTAAATATTATAATACCAGTAGCCACTTCACCTCTTGTCCTAAGTCATATTTGTCCAATTCTTTACTTACCTATCCTTTCAGTAAAGAAGGTAAAAGTTTTCCCACCCTTACTGCAAGATGCAGATGTTCTTTTCAAAAAGACAGATGTTGGCTGGGTGCAGTGGCTCACACCTGTAATCCCAGCACTTTTGGAGGCTGAGATGGGAGGATCACTTGAGGTCAGCTCAAGACCAGCTTGTGCAACATAGTGAGATGTGTCTCTAAAAAAACAGGCCGGGTGCAGTGGCTCATGCCTGTATTCCCAGTTGGGAGGCCAAGGCGAGCAGATCACTTGAAGTCAGTAGGTCGTTCAAGACCAGCCTGGCCAACATGGTCAAACCTCGTCTCTACTAAAAATACAAAAAGATTGGCCGGGTGTGGTGGCATGCGCCTGTAACCCCAGCTTCCTGGGAGGCTGAGGCAGGAGAATCACTTGAACCAGGGAGATGGAAGTTGCAGTGAGCTGAGATTGCGCCACTGCACTCCAACCTGGGCAACAGAACGAGGTTCGACCTCAAAAAAAAAAAAAGCATAAAAAATAAAAAACATTAAAAAACACATATACGGCCGTGCACGGTGGCTCATGCCTGTACTCCCAGCACTTTGGAAGGCCAAAGTGGGCGGATCACCTGAGGTCAGGAGTTCAAGACCAACCTGGCCAACATACTGAAACCCCATCTCTACTAAAAATACAAAAATTAGCCGGGTGTGGTGGCGCAGCATCAGTAATCCCAGATACTCGGGAGGCTGAGGCGAGAGAATCGCTTGAGCCCGGGAGGCAGAGGTTGCAGTGAGCTGAGATCCAGCCACTGCACTCCAGCCTGGGAAACAGAGTGACTCCGTCTCAAAACAAAAAAACCACATATACAATGTTCCTTAGTCATGTCTCATAAAAATGATACTTTGTACTGGTGAGGACTTTCTTTTTCTTATTTTTATCTTATATCCTGTTATCTCTGCTTTGAAAAATATTGCAATCAACCTAAAATTGACATTTTTATTTGAGGCTCTTCATCTCTCCCACTGGTATGTGAAACACCATAAAGTTTCAAATTTGTGCTAACCCTTCCGTAAGATTCTTCCTTTTTAAGTAATTTAACTGTCCTGTAATTCTCTGCTTTTATACCAAATGTGCCTTTTTTTTAACTTTCAAAGGAACCAGTTTGGAATTGAAAATGAATGAATCTAGAGTTGAAATACCAATTGCAAGTCTTTTTCTTTCTTTTTTTTTTTTTAGGAAAACATTTTTCTAAAAGAGTTTTCTTTTTCTTTTTGGGGGACTGTCGTGACAGGCTGAGAGACTGGCGACTTCTATAAGACATGGATAGATGCAAACATGTAGGGCGGTTACGGCTCGCCCAGGACCACTCCATCCTGAACCCTCAGAAGTGGTGCTGCTTAGAGTGCGCCACCACCGAGTCGGTGTGGGCCTGCCTTAAGTGCTCCCACGTGGCCTGCGGCCGCTACATTGAGGACCACGCCCTGAAACACTTTGAAGAGACTGGACACCCGCTAGCCATGGAAGTCCGGGATCTGTACGTGTTCTGTTACCTGTGCAAGGACTACGTGCTCAATGATAACCCAGAGGGCGACCTGAAGCTGCTAAGAAGCTCCCTCCTGGCGGTCCGGGGCCAGAAGCAGGACACGCTGGTGAGACGCGGGCGGACGCTGCGGTCCACGGCTTCGGGTGAGGACGTGGTCCCGCCGCAGCGCGCTCCTCAGGGACAGCCGCAGATGCTCACCGCTCTGTGGTACCGGCGCCAGCGCCTGCTGGCCAGGACGCTGCGGCTGTGGTTCGAGAAGAGCTCCCGGGGCCAGGCGAAGCTGGAGCAGCGGCGGCAGGAGGAGGCGCTGGAGCGCAAGAAGGAGGAAGCGCGGAGGCGGCGGCGCGAGGTGAAACGGCGGCTGCTGGAGGAGCTGGCCAGCGCCCCTCCACGTAAGAGTGCACGGCTGCTCCTGCACACGCCTAGCGACGCGGGCCCGGCCGCCTCGCGCCCCACCACCCTCCCTACCTCACGCAGAGCACCCGCCGCCACGCTCAAGCTGCGTCGCCAGCCTGCCGTGGCCCCGGGCGTCACGGGCCTGCGCAACCTGGGCAACACCTGCTACATGAACTCCATCCTCCAGGTGCTTAGCCACCTCCAGAAGTTCCGAGAATGTTTCCTCAACCTTGACCCTTCCAAAACGGAACATCTGTTTCCCAAAGCCACCAACGGGAAGACTCAGCTTTCTGGCAAGCCAACCAACAGCTCAGCCACAGAGCTGTCCTTGAGGAGTGACAGGGCCGAGGCATGCGAGCGGGAGGGCTTCTGCTGGAACGGCGGGGCCTCCATTAGTCGGAGCCTGGAGCTCATCCAGAACAAGGAGCCAAGCTCGAAGCACATTTCCCTCTGCCGTGAACTGCACACCCTCTTCCGAGTCATGTGGTCCGGGAAGTGGGCCCTAGTGTCGCCCTTCGCCATGCTCCACTCAGTGTGGAGCCTAATCCCTGCCTTCCGCGGCTACGACCAACAGGACGCGCAGGAATTTCTCTGTGAGCTGCTGCACAAGGTGCAGCAGGAACTCGAGTCTGAGGGCACCACACGCCGGATCCTCATCCCCTTCTCCCAGAGGAAGCTCACCAAACAGGTCTTAAAGGTGGTGAATACCATATTTCATGGGCAGCTGCTCAGTCAGGTATGTGTGTGCCTACTATGACAATGAGAGGCTTGTATGTTAGCTTGGGCTTCCTGTGAGTGCCTTCCCCTGGTTATTGGGCTAATAAGAGTAGCCAACATTTGCTGTGATTATGCATTTTTTAGGGTGGCTGTTGTACCTTTTATTCTACTGTACATTATGATGGCCTTTTGGGGAAACTTGCCTAGTGTCTTTCCGGCCAGATTTTTAGTTTAACTTGCCACATTGCTTAATTTTCAGTGAATATCTTTAACTGTTATTGAAGATATGGGTAATATAATATTCTCATTGTTATAATTAAGTACTCATTGTTGGTGTGCCATCCTTTGATCAATTTTAGGGAACAGAGTTTGCCTGTAACTCTGGTTCCATAATAGTTTGAAAGAGCTGTCTCCCTTCTTTACATACAAGGAAGGAAGATAGCTAGGAGCATGCTAAAGACCAATGCAAGCCTCCTTCCTGTTCCCCATTACCTTTTATTTCCTGGATCTTTAGCCATGTAACCTAAGCAAAGATTCTGAGATAAGGCCTTGTGAGAATATGCAGAAAGAGTATTTTTATAATTAAAAAAAAAAAACAAAAACAGACGGGTGCGGTGGCTCACGCCTGTAATCCCAGCACTTCAGGAGGCCAAGGGGGATGGATCACCTGAGGTCAGGAGTTAGAGACCAGCCTGGCCAACATAGTGAAACCCCGTCTCTACTAAAAATACAAAATTAGCTGGGCGTGGTGGTGCATGCCTGTAATCCCGGCCACTTGGGAGGCTGAGGCAGGAGAATTGCTTGAACCCAGGAGGCGGAGGTTGCAGTGAGCCGAGATCGCGCCATTGCACTCCAGCCTGGGTGATAGATGGAGACTAAGTCTCAAAAAAAAAAAAACCAAAAAACAAAAAACGTGTTGGGGGGCGGATTGGTGGGCAGCTTAAGAGATTCAGGTAAAACCTCTACACTATGCTTGTGTCTTGGTTTTTAGGGTCTTGAAAGAATGATGAATGGTATGGAAAGGGAAAATTTAATTAGGTTTTTGTTTTTGAGCATGTAAAAGGGGAGTATTTATTAACACTTCTTCTGTCTCCCCTCCCCTTAGGAAGAAAGGTGCACCTGGGAAGGTTATAGTGGGAATGGAGGTCTAATCACAGCATTTTGAGGCTGTGCAGACAGAGGGGTTCAGTGTAGGGCTTCTGCAAGTAACAGAGGCTAAAAGAGAGGTGTGCTGGGCTCTATGGAAGGTCTAAAGTCAAGAGGAGGAATTACAGGGTGAGGGAAGTAGGCAGGGACCTGCAAATTCTCTGTATCAGATTGATCCCTTGAGAGACTGCATAATAACTTGCAGTCTGTGCTACTGTACTGTTGAATGTTAGAGCATATTTTGGGAGAGGAGAAAGGTGGGTTGGTATAGTCTCTATGCAGTATGGTTTTTAAATTCCAGCTAGCATCCCATAGTTAGAAATGTACATCAGAAGTAATATACTCTAATTCTTTTAAAGTTATGTTTATTATTTTAATATTACTACTTTTTGAAAATTATACACTTAGTTTTGATAAAGTGTGTCTTTTATGAAGCAAGTAAAACTGTACGCAGGAAGCATGGAAGTTACATAATCTGTAAATCAATCTTTTCATTCTAGGTCACATGTATATCATGCAATTACAAATCTAATACCATTGAGCCCTTTTGGGACCTATCCCTGGAATTCCCTGAACGCTATCACTGCATAGAAAAGGGGTTTGTCCCTTTGAATCAGACAGAGTGCTTGCTCACTGAGATGCTGGCCAAGTTCACAGAGACAGAGGCCCTGGAAGGGAGAATCTACGCTTGTGACCAGTGTAACAGTGAGTGCTGTGTGGAGGAGGGGGCGTAGTGGGGAAGTATAACTGGAATATCAGTTTAACGTGCTGCTTTGTCCTCTTTAGTCAAAAGTAACACTAATGATATTGAATGGTTCTAAAGCATCTTTTAAAGATCTCTTCCTCCCATTTTTCTAAAAATCAAAAAACATGGACTTGTTTTAATTATGTATTAAAAAACAAAACAAGGCTGGGCGTGGTGGCTCGTGTCTGTAATCCCAGAACTTTGGGAGGCTGAGGCGAGCGGATCACTTGAGGTCAGGAGTTTGAGACCAGCCTGACCAACATGGTGAAACCCCGTCTCTACTAAAAATACAAAAATTAGCTGGGCGTGGTGGCAGGTGCCTGTAATCCCAGCTACTCGGGAAGCTGAGGCAGGAGAATCAGTTGAACCCGGGAAGTGGAGGCTGCAGTGAGCCGAGATCACGCCATTGCACTCTAGCCTGGGCAACAGAGTGAGACTCTGTTTCAAAAAACAACAACAACAATAACAAAAAATGAAACAAAGACCTAGGAGTTGATTGACCTCCTGATTGACATTAGTTGTCATCTTGGAAGGGATTTTAAAGTGTAGCTCCCGAAATGGGGACTCTGAGAATATTAGTACTTAGCTTCTTAGTGCTATGGGGCTGCTGCATAAATTAATGAATGTAGAGTCCAACAGTTCTTACTTAATCTAAACCCAGATGGAATAGCCTTTCTGAGGGATGCGATATCAGAAAAGCATGCTTTTGTAATGAACTGGTAGACTTAATGTCTGTCAAAAGTGATGCTAAAGATTGGTACAGTGGAACCAAGAAAGTAAGTCTTAAGGTACATTGCTCAGTGGCAGCTTTATGAAATATTTTCTGCATTTTTTTTATTTTTCACATGCCTAAAAAGTTCACATTTCAGAGAGGGTCATAAGGAAGTATTTCTGTGTTGTCTGTAATTTTAAAATGGAACTCTTTACATATGGTTACAGAGGCATGTTATACAGGGCCCTTCCGTCTTGCCACACTAACACTTAATGCTTCTGCTAACCCAGTATGGACAGACGAAATGCAGAGCAAATATGTGGATGCTTATGTTTGGGGGTTGTGGCATATATAGATTTGGAAACTAAAAGTATAAAGTTAATGGATTGTACAGAGACCTAGAAATCCATTTTCAGTCATGTAATAGTTTAGATTACCAGTTTTGAAGAAAAAAAAAATGTTAGGCCAGGCGCAGTGGCTTATGCCTGTAATCCCAGCACTTTGGGAGGCCCTAAGGTGGGCGCCACTCTACTCCAGCCTGGATGACAGAGCCAGATGCTATCTCAAAAAAAAAAAAAAAAAAAAAAAAAAAAGCTAAATTGTGGGAAACCTGTTCCACTCTTTGAAGAATCAGAACAAAAATCAAAAGTCAGGCTTAAGGCCAGGTGCAGTGGCTCATACCTGTAATCCCAACACTTTGGGAGGCCAAGGCAGGAGGATTGCCTGAAGCCAGGAGTTTGAGACCAGCCTGGGTAGCACAGCAAGACCTCTTTTAGGAAAAAAAGAAAAAAAAAAAAAACCCACAAAGTTATGCTCGATATCATTTTGCCATTTCAAAAGAAAATTTGAAATTTTATACCTGGCTAACTGTAGACTCACCTATCCTGTTCCATTTTGAGATACAGAGTCAGGTGAATCAAATTGTTTCATTAGAGTAATATTAAAAACAAAAACAAAAAACAAAAAAACCCAGTGATTCCTGAAGCCTTTTACTTGTAATGAACAAAAGAATATTAACAGCTTTAACTCCATCATTTTTGGATATGATAGATTAGGCAAGAAATAACTTTGGTTTATCTTTACAAGAAAGGATTGTTCTTTGGTTGTCAGATGTGCCAATTTATCAGGATTTCTCTAGGCAAGTGCAAATAATGCCAGAGAAGGAAACCTATGGTGAGGAGATGAGATGCATTGATCTGTTGCCTGTGAAGTTTCAAAACTGTCAGTCTTCTACCTGTCTTCCTGGACAGCTTAATGAAATGGAGACAGAACTGATCAATCTCAATTGAATCAGTAATTTATTTTTCTTTGTGAATTTCATTTTAGGGAAACAAAGCCTGGCTCTATATTGTCTTCATCTTAGCTCACATACTCCCTCTGCTGAGGGTGGTAGTCACTGCCAGGGTTCCTAGCCAGAGCTGCAGTAATTTTCAAAAAAATGGTGAATAGGAATATAAAATAAGGCCAAGCCCCTCTTTGAATTCCATTTCTGTTCATGCCAGCACATATTGTGACTACACACCCTGGTAAAAGCTTCTCCTGTGGCACAACTCATTCTGATGCAGTCTATTATGAGAAGCTACACCTCCACATCCTATTGTCACAGAAAGCTCTGTGATACATCATCTGGCTGTGATTTGCTACCTTTCATGAGTAGTACAGACAGGACTGGGAATCAGATGCCCAGCTCTTCAGACACTGAGCCCATGATATCAACAGCTCAAGACAATTAGCAGGGACTGCCGTAGAACACTTAATTTTCTACTCTCATCCATTTACCAATTTAATATAATAAAACAGCCATCAGTAAATAGTTACAGGAAAGGCTTCTGATAGAAACTAAGATAACTCTATTTCCATTGTTTATTTGCTGAAATTTAGAATTGCATTTCCTAAAGGCTGGGCACAGTGGGCTCACACCCACAATCCCAACACTTTGGGAGGCCAAGGTGGGAGGACTGCTTGAGGCCAGCAGTTCAAGAAATGCATTTCCCCCACATTTAGAAACAAAATTAGAGACTGATCACTAGTTCTGCTTTGGAGTAGATGAATTTAGCCACCTGTCAGCTTTGTCCTTATATGTCCAGCAATGTGCTTTTATCTAGGAAATATGTTTCAAAAACTAGGCACAGCATAAAAATATAGAACCAACAGTTTATTTTCTAAATGTTTGAATATGCCATAAGCAAATCATGCTAAAGAAAAATGTGTTTAAATACTGTATCATTTAGTAATCTTATCCTTTTTTTCCTAAGCCTGAAATATATGCATTATTCCCTATTTTACTGGTGAGGAAACGGAGGTTCAGAGTTTTGAGTTAACTTATCCATTAGCACACAACTAGTTGTGAGCATGAAGTAGAATTAGGCTTACCTAGTGCAAACAAAAAGCTTCTTAAAATCATATTGTGGGGTATCATAATTGAAGTTATAAGCCATTGTGAAGATATGGAGCCTTAACATATGCTTCTACTCTGTGTGCTTGCTGTTGCACGTTCCATTATATTCCATTATATGCAAAGTATCCTGATGGCAAAAATTGGAAAGATTTGAGTTGCTTGTAACAGTCGACCCAAATAACAGTGACTTAAAATGAGAGATATTATTTTTCTGTTACATAAAACAAGTCTGAAGGACATTCAGGGCCAGCATGGTGGCTGCATAGTCATCAGTGACCCAAGCTATTTCTGTCTTTCTGTTCTACTATCCTGTTGCAAGACTTCTGTCTTCAAAGTTACCTTTTGGTCCAGGAGGAATTCCAGTAGTTTCAGATAGTGGGAAGGCCAAAGGGATGCACCTTACAAGTGAGTCAGCCTTGTATAAGCAGAGTCCCACACAGTCATTCCTTTCATCTTAGCCAGAACTTCCATGACCACACCATGCAGGCTGGTGAAGCTGGGAAATGCAGTCATAAAGAGGGTCACATTGCACTCCCCAAAAAATTGAGGTTCAGGTACTGAGAAATATGGAGAATGCATATTGAATGGCAAGTCACTGTCTCTGCCATAGCTAGAAAAAACTCTTCACAACCTATGTCTTATACCTTCCCAAACCACATAGGCAAACGACGAAAATCCAATCCCAAACCCCTTGTTCTGAGTGAAGCTAGAAAGCAGTTAATGATCTACAGACTACCTCAGGTTCTCCGGCTGCACCTTAAAAGATTCAGGTGAGCTTGCTGTGGGAGTCCTAGCTGGGTGAGAGCTGTGGGAATAGCTGCTCCAAAGGCTTTGGTGAGGGCAAATGTCTTCTATGGTTTTGGGAGGGGAAGCCTGTTCACTTGAGACCTTGTGTTTTCCATGGAGATTAAATCATTCACATCCACTAAGGCAAATTAATGTGGGAGCCCAGCAGAACTGGGCTTTTGCTGTCATGCGCCTGTGTAATTAATTATCCAGCCTGCACTGGGTATCTGTGCTTAAAGATTTTCTAGCCTGGCTTGGACTTATGTAGATTCATCTTCAGGATGAAATATAAAATAATCTGGAAAAGAAGGGCAGGCAGGAAACTACAAAAAGACTGTTGCTTGAATTGCTTGTTTAGGGATCTCTAGGTTTAGAGTACTTCATGGAACATTCACAGCAAATAAATGGGCCAGGCGCAGTGGCTCATGACTGTAACCCTAGCACTTTGGGACGCCAAGGTAGGCAGACTGCTTGAGCTCAGGAGTTCGAGACCAGCCTGGGCAACATGGTAAAACCCTGTCTCTACAAAAAATACAAAAATTAGCCAGGCGTGGTGGTGTGCACCTATAGTCCCACCTACTCGGGAGGCTGAGGTGGGAGGATCACCTGAGCCTGGGAAGGTTGAGGCTGCAGTGAGCCTTTATTGATCGCACCACTGCACTGCAGCCTGGGCAACAGAGTGAGACCCTGTCTGAAAATAAATAAATAAATAAATAAATAAATAAATAAATAAATAAATGTGAACATTGATTACCACCGTTTTATTGATGGGAAGACCCAAACCAGAAGGTTTAATTTTCTCAGTTCCCTGTTTTATTAATACCTACCTCTACCTACAATTGTATATGCCGGTTTTTACTAGTAACAAGCTTATATCCATGTTCTAGGTGGTCTGGCCGTAACCATCGAGAGAAGATTGGGGTCCATGTCGTCTTTGACCAGGTATTAACCATGGAACCTTACTGCTGCAGGGACATGCTCTCCTCTCTTGACAAAGAGACCTTTGCCTATGATCTCTCCGCAGTGGTCATGCATCACGGGAAAGGGTTTGGCTCAGGACACTACACAGCCTATTGCTACAACACAGAGGGAGGTGCGTGCGCTTTACTCTGTGGGGTGGGGGACACGGAAAGGGGTTATTTGTCCACATTTTGTTGTTTTCCTTTTATTTCCATCCCATGGATTACCTAAAGGGAAATTACATACATGAAAATCCAGTGGCAAGAATTGTGAAAGTTGGGTCAGGCGCCGTGGCTCACACATGTAATCCCAGCACTTTGGGAGGCTGAGGTGGGTGGATCACCTGGGGTCAGGAGTTTGAGACCAGCCTGGCCAACATGGTTAAACCCTGTCTCTATTAAAACAGTACAAAAATTAGCCGGGAGTGGTGGCGGGCACTGGTAATCCCAGGTACTCAGGAGGCTGAGGCAGGAGAATCGCTTGAACCTGGGAGGCAGAGGTTGCAGTGAGCCAAGATTATGCCACTGCACTTCAGCCTGGGTGACAGAGCAAGACTCTTATCTCAAAAAAAAAAGAATTATGAAAGTTGGATTCAAATTTTGGGCATATTACTAAGTAACAACGTATGGTTGTTCTAAGAATTAAAAGGAACTGACATGTAAAAGTGCTTAGAACAGGACCTAGGCCCTGTGCAATGGCTCACGCCTGTAATTCCAACACTTTGGGAGGCAGAGGCGGGAGGATTGCTTGAGGCCAAGGGTTCAAGACTAGCCTGGGCAACATAGTAAAAACTTACCCAGGCGTAATGGTGTGCACCTGTGGTCCTAGCTACTTGGGAGGCTGAGGTGGGAGAACTGCTCGAGCCCAGGAGTTTGAAGTTGCAATGAGCTGTGATTTCACCACTGCATTCTAGCCTGGGCAAGAGAGTGAGATCCTGACTCAAATAAATAAATAAAAAGAGCAGTTGCTTAGCACATAGTGCTTATTCAGTCAGTGTTTGAGGATATTGTAGTATTATCAAAAATATTGGTTATTGATAATATTACTATTATTGTGGTAATGCTACTTCTGCACACCCCAGTTTCCTTCTTGGTTATGCAGAAACAGTAGAACCTGTGTAACCTCAAGGAGATACTGTATAAATCTCACTAGCCGCAGCTTACAAAGCTGAGAACATTTACTGAGCACTTACTATGTTCTTACTACTTCCCCCGCCATGGGAAGTATGGGGATGCAAGGGCCCCTCCAAAGGTGCTTTAGGTCCTCATCCTCCAGAGTGGAGTCTTCCAGCTACTGCACTGACTGATGGGTTGCAGATGTGTTTTCAGCTGTTCACTGTTCTTGAACTGCACAGCCCTTGGGGCAGCCAGAGCCTGTGAATAAATACTTTTTTGTTCCTTCTAAATTTTCCTTTATCACTCCCCTCTATTTCCATTTCTCGTCTCCTCCTCCCCTTCCTCCTCATCTTCCTCCTTATCTCCCCATTGCTTAGCCTGCAGTATTGCAGCTATCTTTCTAGAAGGCTCTAGTGGACAGTAAAAAAGCCTGAAGAAAACAAAGATAAAAATTGCAGTCAGTCGGCCAGGCGTGGTGACTCACACCTGTAATCCCAGCACTTTGGGAGGACGAGGTGGGCGGATCACGAGGTCAGGAGATTGAGACCATCTTGACTAACATGGTGAAACCCGTCTCTACTAAAAATACAAAAAATTAGCCGGGTGTGGTGGTGGGCGCCTGTAGTTCCAGCTACTCGGGAGGCTGAGGCAGGAGAATGGCATGAACCCGGGAGGTGGAGCTTGCAGTGAGCCGAGATCCCGCCACTGCACTCCAGCCTGGGCGACAGAGCAAGACTCCGTCTCAAAAAAAAAAATTGCAGTAAGTTGATAAGCGGTACTGTGGGGTTTGGTGGGGTTAAAGCCAGTGGATACACAGAAGTCTGTCGGTTTCATTTACCTGTCCCATCCCCCACCAATAATCGAGGGTTGGCTCTATTCAGAACTTCTCTGTCCCTTTCTTCATCTCCTGATTTTGCCTGCTGACTAGAAATATGAATTGGGTAGTCATTTTCTCTCTTTTTCTCCTTTGGTTTCCTAGGTTTTTGGGTCCACTGCAATGACTCAAAGCTGAATGTATGCAGTGTCGAGGAAGTGTGCAAAACCCAGGCCTACATCCTTTTTTACACTCAAAGAACAGTGCAGGGCAATGCAAGAATCTCAGAAACCCATCTCCAAGCTCAGGTGCAGTCCAGCAACAATGAAGGCAGACCACAGACATTTTCCTGAATGGGAGGCATGTATCAAAGACTGGCTTTTGTGTACTGGTGTCCATACATCTTTCCTCTTATAGGAAATAAGGCTACTGCAGGAACAGATTACTAGGTTTGCCTCACTGGGTCTAGAGTAGAAGGTGCCAGGTGATTCATGTCCTGTCATAAATTTTGTAGTCTTTCTTTTGAATGAGTTTGGGAGTTCCCTCCTTTCCTAAAAACAAAAGAAGTAACTTCTATGAAGATCCTTTCATCAGTTGCTTCTGAATATAGAGGGATCTAGGTGGAAGAAAGCGGGAGTAAATTAATCATATCCACACAGGAGAGCAGCCATGTTTTCTCTCCATTATGTGATTCCCCTGCTAAGCAGGACCTCCTTGCAGCACCAGAAGAACCCTCCAGATGTGAGCAGCCCTGGACAGAGCATGTGAGGAGGGGCCCTGGGCTAGCAGTTTGCTGGATGGGATTGGCTTCAAGATGGGAGATGAAGTCTAAAGGGTTTATTCCCACAAAGGAAGTAACCTTCAAGGGTTCAAAACAAACTTCCTTTTTTGGGGATAGCTGCTAAAGAGTGGAGTGAGATGCATGGAACAAATTTCCCCATGCAAAATGGGATGGTTTTCGTATGTCATACCCTCCCTACCTGCTGCTGTCATTTAATCATTCCATACTTCTGAGACTGGCATGAATACCCCTTCATTTTAAAGAAGGAGCAGGTCATATAAAGAAGCAATAGACCAGCACATGTTGCATGCTGAGCCAAATGACACTCCTGGCTATCCCAGTTCTGTAGCAGATCCCTGGTTCAGGTCTAGGGCAAGCACATGGTTTGGTTTAAATTGATTCTTAGGTTTTCTCAGAACTCAATTGAGGGTGGGCAGAGATAGCTGGTGCTGCAGGGCTTATTGAATGCCTATCACCCGTTCTCACTTCAGTGCAGCATGCAGCTTCTTAGCCTGCAGCTTCTTTCTTGCTTCTGGAGAGGTAGAACATTCATGGTCACAGGGTTTGGGAGCTTTTGGTTTTCTAGGGTATGTTAACTGCTTAGGAATCCACCTCGTACATATCTGAAGAGTTGATTACCGATGGCCTTGACCTGTTTCCTCCCAAATCTGATAATCCCTACTGTTGCTTTACCCCCCATACTCAGTCCATTAGAGAAAAAAACAAGAGTGCCCCGTCCTTTCCCCCAGTGCTAGTAAAATACATCGTCCTTTTTAAATTGGGTCAGTTTCTAAACAGAATGAAATTGCCCAGATAAAAACCCTTGTCCCCATCAGGTGCCACTTCATTCTTAGTTCTTCACTTAGATTTGCTGGTGAAAGTGAATGCAAACCCTAACTTTTGTTGCTGTGGTTGCTGCAGTGAGCCTCACTCAGCCTGTCACTATAAATGCTCATCTTTTGACTGAGTATATCGTATTAATGTTTGAATTCAGGTAGAAGTACAGTTGTCACTTGAAGGGAGTAGATGTGGAAGGGAGTTCGGGGAGGGGTGGGAAGTGGGGAAAGCGAGGCTAAAGAATGAGGATTATAGCTTTAGCAATGTTGATGAGCCACATTTCCCGCACAGATCTGTAGCATTTGCTGTTGACTTTTTGAAATGAACTCTCCCATAGGCCCTGCCAGGCAGCACTGAGACATGGAGGAAATTCAGACAAAAAATGGCTCACCCTGATAGGGAAGGAATGACTATATTTTAAATTAAACTTGCTTTTTCCAACACTGTGAGATTTCTGTAATATTTAGCTTTTATTTGGAAGCGATAGCGTATGGCATTTTTTATGCTGTTTGGTTTATACTGTCTACTGCAGGCTTCTTTGTATAAGCTTTGCCTGGGCTCACCCTCTCCTGGACACTGTTTTAAAGTGTCACCGCTGTCCATGCTGCCAGAGGCTCTGATGTGAAGCTGTACTCTCAAGATCCAAGTTTTTAAGTCGGCATGATTAGTAATGACTTTTTGTGGCAATAGAAAAGCCCATTAACTCAAAAAAACCAAGGAGAGTAAAAAGGAAAGGAAACTATGAATCGTGCCTCATCTTTCATTGAATCCTATATTTATTATTCTAGAAAAAGAACTTACAAGATAGAGAAGAAATAATAGAGCATCTACTTTACCCCTCAGGCTGTCCAGTGGGGATAATTACTAATAAACATTTAATGGAAAATTCAAAGATCTTCCAATTTAATTTTAAAAAATAGTTTTATACCAAATATTATAAGGATTTATTAAGCAGATTAAGGACTTCATGAAATAAGTGCTTAGCTGAGCACGCATATATCAAAGTAATAAAAGAAACTAACATCAGAGTCTCCACTGAGCTACACATTTGTGAAAGGTGCCCACTGCAGTTACAGACACCTCAGGTACCCAGAGGCAGCAGCACTAGACACTTAAGAAGTTGTTATTTAAGGAGATTTTTTATTAAAGAGTTCCCTGCTGCATAAGCCAATGGCTATTGTGAGGGAATTGTCCCTTTGCCTTTAATTTATTTACATATTGGGTATAGATAAATGTCTCAGTTGCATCTTAAATTGAAATCATTCTAAAGAGAGGAAAATAAGAACCAGGTAAAAGCTGACTAGATGCTGCCAAATCAAACCCAAGGTCTCCTAACTGAACCTTAATGGGCCTGCTTCTCTCCCAGGGCAAGTAGTTAAGAGTCTCGTTCCAGGAACCCTTTGTAGTTAGTTGGCTGGCATGTTTACTTGCTGCTGTAGCCAGCCAAGATGAGTGCACCTAGGCCCTCAAAAAGGATTTTTTTTTTTACCTCAATCTAGCCTGACCCTCATATCTGTGGTTGCCTCTGAGATGAACATCCATGCTAGTATAAAAATCGTTAGGAATGCCCTTGGCAGCCAGGAACTGAAGCTGTTATTAAATGGTAGTCAGAGCTCTTGCCAGCTTTGATCCAGCCCCTCAGTCTTGGAGTTATGGGGCAGGGTTGGGGGGCAGTGCTACACTGTAAAGAATTTCCAGGCTGGGCGTGGTGGCTCACGCCTGTAATCCCAGCACTTTGGGAGGCCGAGGTGGGCGGATCACAAGGTCAGGAGATTGAGATTGAGATCATCCTGGCCAACATGGTGAAACTCCATCTCTACTAAAAATACAAAAATTAGCTGGGCGTGGTGGCACGTGCCTGTAGTCCCAGCTACTTGGGAGGCTGAGGCAGGAGAATCGCTTGAACCCAGGAGGCAGAGGTTGCAGTGAGCCGAGATCGCGCCACTGCTCTCCAGCCTGGTGACAGAGCAAGACTCTGTCTCAAAAAATAAAAATAAAAAAAAATTTCAGACGTCTCTTAAAATGTCATGAATAAAATTGGAAACTGTAGAAGTGTTATGTGTCCTATGGACTCAATAGCAGAGTTTATTTTTGTCTTTAATGGCAAGGCTTCTAGAGTCAATGATTGTATGAGTTTGCTACTCTGGCTGTGCTTACAGCTCCATCCAAGTACAAGGGAAGAACCAATGAGGTGGATTGGCTGGCAGTGGGGCATGCCCCAGCATAAGCCCTAGAGAGGTTGACAGTAGTGCAGAATGAAAACTTGGTTGGGGATGGCGGGTGGTGGGAGGAGGGTGGGCAGGCCGGGAGGGAGAAATGGAGTTTGTTTTACTTACTGACAAAGCTTTGTGAACTAATTTTATACAATTCATAAAATTTGGTGCCTTGTACTCCATTATGGTTTGCATGGAATTGAAAAGATTAAGGGAAAGGATTTCTTGTCATTTCAAGTGGCAAATGGGTCTGTGTAGTGTTTAAAGGACATCTGGTATCAGAGACTTCTAAAAAGCATTTCATGTCTCTTGTGTGTGAATGCAAATTATTCTTACCAGCAAGTTCTAAAATTATATTACAATGTCCAAATTCTTTGTATTTGTGACTGTTCATCAAACGGCTGTTTTTCAAGCAGACTATGTACTCCATTTGTTTTTCACTTCCCTTGTCACGTTCCATACATTAACTTGGGCCTTTTAAAATCAGGCTGGGGGGCTACCCCTTCTTAAATGTATACTATATCCCTATCTGAGGTTACATCTTGTGAGTGGAAGGGATGCTTTCCCAGGTGGTTGGGAGAGCACAAATGTTCAGAAAAGGCCTTTTAGTCTTTATCAAAACAATGACTAATGCTGGGCAACATATAGCAGAAGTCAAACAAAAATGATTCCTCCTGAAGTGGTACCTTCATTGGTTCTGATGTTCTTTTGCAAAAAATGTCTGGGAGCAGTATAGAAAACCTCTGTATGTGAACCACAGATTGTAAGGCAAGCCAGTGCACTGTGTAATATGCAAAGGGAGTGGTGCAAAAGAGAAGGCACCCGTCCTAGCTCTCCATGCCCTTCCCCCCTCCGGCAGGCACTGACTGAGATGGTGCTGAGTGGCTGTGGAAGGTGCTAAGACCCAGTCTCTTCACTGCAGGGCTGTTTACAGCCAGTTTCTTTTACTCCGACCTTAAGGTTTCCACTGAGCTCCTGAAACTTCACCAAATGGTGTTTAAAAGTTTACCACTCAAATGCACACTTGAAAATTGGGTCCCTCAGCCTCATTACTGAACTAAATAAGTGAAGAGGTTGTATCTTTGGGGTAAAACTTTCCATGGCCATTTAATTTTTTAACTAGTTAAGTACGCATCTTCCTGGTGGTTCAGACTTTTTAAGTCAGCACTAAAGCTGAAAAGCGCCTTCTAAATATGACTGTAACTTTAGTTTGTATCTTACGTTTAATAACTGTTCTGTTGGGCCAAGACTATGACTTTAATTACTGTGTACTTATTCAATCCACACTGCACTAAATACACCATAGCTACTATAGCATTGTGACACTCATTTTTGTGGACTCATTCCATACTTCTGCTGGCATATTTCGTTTAAAATCTAGCTAGAGATTTTCATAGTACTGTGTTAACTAGCCAGGGCTGAAAAGTGTGACAGGATATAAAATTGACTTTCCTTGGGGAAAATGTTGTTTTGGCAGTAATGAAGGCCAATTCCTTCATTTACAGAATTAATGATTACTTATCAATTTTTGAAAGTTGTAGATTAAGTAGTTTTATTTACTAAATTCTTAACCACTTTGAATAATTAAGCCAGTTTAAGTGAAACATTGGCTGGACACGGTGGCTAGCACCTGTAATCCCAACACTTTGGGAGGCCAAGGTGGGAGGATTGCTTGAGGCCAGGAGCTCAAGACCAGCCTGGGAAATACAGACTTGAAATCTTTTCAAAAATGTATAAAAATTTAAAAATAAATAAATGAATCCTTACTCAACCATCATTATGGCTTTAAAACCCAACCAACAGTAAATACTTACTTGAAGCCAAAACAGTAAATTTTGAATAAAATTTGAATTATGCTTTTGGAAGCTGCCATGTCTTAATTCTTGCTGGATTTTGATTTTCAATTTTGGAAGTTTTTATCAAATAAAACTGTTCAGTCATGAGTATATCAGGTAGCAGCCTTTAAGGATCTAAGTTTCATTCCTATAAAGAACAGGAGGTGCTGGTATTTCTTGTCTTAGCAAGTGGTCTGATATGGGTCTTAAATGGGGGTTAGCATCTATACTATGGCTTAAAAGTTTCCTCCTTGGTCACCATTTGGGAGGTGATGGCTTCAAAGCTAAGCTTTGCTCTCATGTGATCCTTCTTCATCTTAATACCCAGTAAAATATAAACCTCTCAGAGTCTACACTCAAGGGTCTTGGCTTCATCTATCAGATAAGATCTATCTGATTTATACAAAGAATGGTGCTGTTTTTATATACAAACTAAAAAAATTTAATTCTCAAGCAATTTTCTTAATATTTACGCCAGCAAGGTCAGGAAAGACTTTTGTCCTGTTTATCTTTAGTAGTGAACAAACTGCTAGAGACATCTGTCATTCTTAACAGGCCACTGTGGTCCATATATACTGACCCTCCTTTCCAATTAATGTCCTTTAATCCCACACTAGTTTCATAGGAGACCTGGCACATAAAAGCAGTATTTTTTTTAATGTCTAGTAAACTGACCAGAAAAAAATAATTGCCATGGTGGACCCGTTTCTATCCACCCCTTTCTATGGCTATACAAGTTTATACATGCCAGTTCCGTATGTACTCCATTTCCAAAGAGCCCCCAAACCCTGGACAGTAGCACTACCATCAATTTCAGGGTCACAAAACATCTCCTTCTGAAGGAAGCGGCTTCCTCAGCAGTGTCACTTTAGTGCCCACTGCCCAGGCTTACTTCACTTTACCTCCCCCTACACATCACTGCCCTCTTTGTGCCACCAAACCTCACTATTCCAGCAACAATGCCTCCCTGGTGCCTGGAAAACCCATCTGGTGCACTAAAATGCTATGCAACACCAAATGGCTTCTTCCCCTTATATTGCTCAACAATGTAAATTCTTCAAGAATAAACTTCATGCTATGTTGACATCAATGTATGGTTACAGCTTTTTTTTTTTTTTTTTTTTTTTTTTCCTTCCTTTTAAAATGAAGCAAACCACTTCCATTAAAATCCATGTTTGGGGCTTGTTTTTGTCTCTCAAGTGTGAAATATAAATCATGTTTTTATGATTTTTGTAAATTTTTTTACACCTTGTTTTTGTAAGCAAAAGTTTCTTATTAAAAGAATAAAATGACTGCCTTTGTGTGTGGTATTTATTTCAAATGTTTGTTAAAACAGCACTGTTATTTCTCAGGACAAGAGCAAAGATCACCCCCTGCAGAAGCTTGGGAACTATGTACAGAACTTTATAGAACAGAGGCCATACTTTAGCTTAAGCCTGTCTGCTGACCAGAGAATGGAATTCTGCATGGACTCAAGGAACAAAAGGAAACTAGGCAGGGAGAGGGAAGAAAGTGCCCATCTGAATCAAACTTCAGCTGCCATCAGGGCACATCTTGTGGTGGTCACAGATTGTAGGCTGTTTTTTGGAAGATTCGGGTTCAGCACAGGATTCCATTTGTCTGCAATCGGATAAGACAACAGGTGGCATTAGAACTGGAAAAGTATGGGAGAGAAACTAGTAAGAGATACTTAAATCCCTTGCAACATCTGAAAACACATTTAACTAGGAATAGTTAAGGGTTTTACATCACATTCTTTTGTACATTTCGTGAATAGTTGACAGAAAACATTGCTTCTCCCAGTCTCTAGGTCTCCTAAGACACGCAGGGGTGTGGTTCAGTGCTTACCTACTTGGCTACACCCCTGGCTGAGGTGCCATGAGGTCAATGTCACTCAAGTTCCTGGCCAGCCAAACTCCCGCAGCAAAGAGTCCCAAATTTAATATCAAGTTCCTGGAAAAAAATGTGTTTTACTAACCCTGTGGTCACTGAATCTGTTGTACAGTTAACGAAATGTACTGGGGGAAAATGCTTCTATCACCACCACCTTCCCGAGGCGTTAATACATGGTTGTGACATGGCAGGTTGCTCAAGACCCACGTGGGAATTTGGAGTTCATTTTTGTGCCTAATAAATGTAAGATAAGTCTGGGTGAGGTGGCTCACGCCTGTAATCCCAGCACTTTGGGAGGCCGAGGCAAGCGGATCCCGAGGTCAGGAGTTCAAGACCAGCCTGGCCAACATGGTGAAACCCCGTCTCTACTAAAAATACAAAAATTAGCTGGGTGTGGTGGCACGCGCCTGTAATCCCAGCTACTGGGGAGGCTGAGGCAGGAGAATCACTGGAATCCGGGAGCAGAGATTGCAGTGAGCTGAGGTTGTGCCACTACAGCCTGGGCGACAGAGCGAGACTGTCTCAAAAAGAAATAAATGTGGCCAGACGGGGTGGCTCACGCCTGTAATCCTAGCACTTTGGGAGGCCGAGGCGGGTGGATCAAGAAGTCAGGAGTTTGAGACCAGCCTGCCCAAGATGGTGAAACCCCGTCTCTACTAAAAACACAAAACTCAGCTGGGTGTGGTGGCGTGTGCCTGTAATCCCAGCTACTGGGGAGGCTGAGGCAGGAGAATCACTTGAACCCGGGAGGCGGAAGGGACAGTGAGCCGAGATCGCGCCTCTGCACTCCAGCCTGGGTGCCAGAGCGAGACTCCGTCTCAAAAAAAAAAAAAAAAAAAATGTAAGATCCGCAAAGCCCAGCTAAAGCACTAGCCCAGCGCCAAAAAAGCCTGTTTACGTGCTGGCACCTCTTCCCTTGATCAGGGTGACATACAGATACAGCCACACGAACGAAAGATCGCTTCTGCCACACGGGAACTCTCCCTCCTGGCCAAGGACGTCAGTGACGCACAGGCAGAGCTACCAAGACGCCACAATGCTGGCAATGTTAAAAAAACAAAAACAAGGCCGGGTGCGGTGGCTCACGCCTGTAATCCCAGCACTTTAGGAGGCCGAGGCGGGCGGATCACGAGGTCAGGAGATCGAGACCATCCTGGCGAACACGGTGAAACCTCGTCTCTACTAAAAATACAAAAAAATTAGCCGGGCGTGGCGGCGGGCGCCTGTAGTCCCAGCTTCTAGGAAGGCTGAGGCAGGAGAATGGCGTTAACCTAGGAGGCGGCGGAACTTGCAGTGAGCGGAGATCGCGCCACTGCACTCCAGCCTGGGCGACAGAGCGAGACTCCATCTCAAAAAAACCCAAAAAAACAAGAACAAAAAAACCCTCGCGAGAAAGGGGAATACCGACGTAAGGGCCAGAGAAGGACCAAGTTCTTGGGCTCAGTTACCTCCGGAAGTCATTCCTATCTGTGGCAAAGCGGTAGACGCCCCGAAGCCAATCTCCCACGTTGTCTGGTATTTCGGGAGTTTCATTAGCCGAGCCAGCAGCGCTCACCGGGACCCCGCTGGAAGCCATAGTAGGAACCTTCGCATGGGCCGCGGTGGAGGAACCGTATCGGCGTCGCGGGTGAATGACGCACCTCCGGTTTGCCACTTCCGGCTGCTACCAGCCGGCAGGGGAGCGCTGTTCACTTAGTCCGACATCCGGAAGAGGGACGGCCCCCTGCTGCGCGTCCACGAACTCTAGGAGGGGAGGAGCGCGGCCCGGCTCTACGGTCCCCTGCTCCCGGTCCCACCTCCGGCTCTCCAGCCGGTAACCGTCACGCGTGCTGTGATCATTTAATTGGCTCGGGAGGAGGATGGTGGGGACGGGGCTGTCCCAGCCTGTGGAGGTGGGGGTAGGGGCTATCTCAGCAGGGGAAGCGTAGCTTTGGGGAATGGGTTTTGCCAAGAAAGTCTCCACCAAAAGTCCTAACGCGCTGTGCTGAAGGGGGCGCACTCCAAACTTGTCACCTCGCCGCCTCTCGCGGGCGTGCGCCTGACTGCGTCTCAGTCTAGGATTGTTAGGGGAGGCTATCCTTGTTCTCCCGCTTTACAGACCCCTTTCCTCCCACTCACACCCCCTCTCTGAGCTGCGCCACTAGCACATGGTGCAGTGCTTCTTAGAGGCGTTGCTGTCCTCTGCTTGGAGGCTTCCGGGGATTTTCCAGGACAGGGGAAGGCGCTCGCCTAAGAAAAAGCCTTCAGGTTCCGAGTCAGAGGAGGAGGAACAGGTGGAGAAAGGGGTGTCCTTGGGATCACGAAGAGTCTCCAAGCGGCACTGCTCCTGCCCTTTGGGTGCCTCCACTTTTTCCCCAGGTCGGTTCTCCTGCTGGGGACTGGATCCAGGCAGCCCCGTCTGAGTTTGCAGGCTGGAACCGCCGGCAGCAGCGAGAACGAGTGTTCGGGAGAGGGTCGCAGAGTTCACCGAGGTTTGGTCCCTTCCTCCAGTTCGGTCGGGTCCAGTCTCCCCTGTTCCGGGCCGGGTCGGAAACACTGGTCTCAGAGAGGCGGAGCTGGACCTCCACCGCAGCTAGCGGGGGTGAGGCCCAGCCTCTCGCCCCGCCCAGCCCAGCCCCTGGGCCGTGCGCGCCGCCGCCGCCGCCGCCGCCGCGAGTCCTCGCCAGGGTCCCCCGCCTCCACCAGAGGGCGGCCGCGTCCCGCGCCTGGGAGGGAGTCCGGCGCCGCAACCCCGACCGCGGCGCGGGGTGGGTTCGGGAGGCCCTCGGAACGCTCCGGCCAGGGACGCGCGGTGAGAGCTGCGGGCCCCGAGGCTCGGATCTGGGGGGTGCGGTGGGGGTGCTCCTGGAGGGACGGGACGGCGTGGGACCGGGGCGAGGGTCCCAGCCCGGGAAAATCCCCACAGCCCAGCCCAAGCCCCCTCCCGCTTTGCTCTGCATCCTCTCCCTTACCAAGGAATGCCTGCCCTTCCAGTGTCCCGGCCCAGTTCCAGCCTGCATCCGAGTAGCGGTTCTCGAAGCAGCTGGGGCAGCAGGGGCTTCCCCCAGGCAGGGCATAACGTCCCCCGCCCAGAGGCCCGGCGCAGTCCTGGCAACAGAAGTGGTTCTCATGCCAGCACTGTCCCTCTGCCTCAGTGCAGCGCTGGGAGAAGATCAGCTGGGAGAGGGAGAGGGGAACGTTTCATTCATTCATTCACTCATTCATTCATCCAGTAACCACGCCTTTTACCCTGTTAACACTAAAGCATGTCTGCATACATTCCCATTTGATTCACTCAGCCACTCTTGGACGCAGGGAGGACTGATTGGCTTAGCCAGGATATCAGCTAGCAAGTGGCACAATCCAAAGTGCGACCTGGGGGTCTGGACTCCCAACCCAGGGCTCCAGGCTTCCTTTTATGCTGACATCAAGGGAATTTCTAGCATGATGAGGCACAGCACTGGGCACTTGGCATCTACTGAGATGAGCATGTGTCCAAGAGTCCCTGCTCTAGAGAAATTCTGTCAGTCCAAGAACATCTGAGGGCCTCCGCAGTGGGGGAGGCCACAGGCAGAAGGGCACCGGGTCCCACGTGCCCAGAGCTCAAGTCAGAACACAGTGAACTTGCCCAGACTGGTTCCTACTTCTCCCCACTTCCTGATACTGTGAGAAACTGTGGCCCAGGAGAGTGTTCCTTTGTATCCTGCCACTCTGGACCCTGGGCAGACCCCCAGTTCCTCCCCTCCAGGCTGTACCTGGTCACAAGCTGGGCAGCGCGGGCGCAGCAACTCTGCATGATGGCGGCCGCAGTAAAGTTGTCCATCATGGTAGAAGTAGATGAGGTTTATCAGGGCCTGGCCACAGGCCTGGCAGGCAAAGCAAGTCTGGTGCCAGCAACGCTGTTCCCCTGCCCGGGCTGCAAACACTCCGTACTCTCCTGGCTTCAGCAGCTCCCTACACTGTCAGAGGGGAGGTGCTGAGTTGGTCCAAGTAGGCACTACCGTCCTAACTTCCCTCCTTGCTCTTGCAATCTGATCCCAACCTGTTCTCAGCATACCCTAGCAAGCCCACATCCACTGCAACCTACACCAAGAGCTCCCAAACTTGGTTTCTGTTTTTCCTGTTTCCCAACCAGAGTTCCAGAAGCTAGCCCCTTCTGCAGAAATGAGAGGGCAAAGAATAGAGGAAGGGGAACTTGAGGGGAGGGGTGCTACAGACCTTCTCACAGGTGTGTCCTTCAAGCTTGGGAAGTACCAGGCGAGCTACCCCCCGTCCCAGGGCCTCCTGCTTCCGCCTGGCACAGAAGAGCTGCAGCTCAGCCCGCTCCTCCTCCCCGAGGGCCAGGCAGTAGTGCTCCTGCAGAAACAGTCCTCTACAGTTACTGGGAGAGCTCCAGCAGGAAAGATTGAGCATTGGTTGGAGGAAGAAAGGCTTGGCTGCTGGGTCAGAGAAACGTTGTAGAACCTCAGGGAGATGCCAGAGATAATGGCATGGAAGGGGAAATCGAAGAAGAAGGAAAGGAGCTCAGGAAAGGCCACCTGAGTCTCCCCCTGCCCCCCCTAGGAATGGTCATCAATCAGGTCCTGACAGGCCCACAACACTCAGCCCTGTCACCATTAGGTCCTTGCTCCCAATGAGCTAAGAGCTCAGTATCACTTCCAATTCTTGCATTTCCTCAAATTATTTCATATACTCCTGTCTTGCCTCCCCAATTGAATTGTAAGCCTTTAGGCTGGGCACATGTAGACCCTCAATAAATATGTAACAACCATACTCTCTACATTTGTACATTCCATTATCCGTTTCAAAAGTCGTTCATGTCCATTTTCTCATTTGCTCTTGAACTAAGCATTGTGGTGGGCAGAGCAGATGTTACTGCACCCGCTATTGTTACTGCCAACGTGAAAACTCAGGCAGGGGGAGAATGACACGCCAACCAGTGGCATAGCTGGGCCTTAAATCCACGTCCCCTAACTTCTGGACTGAGGTTCTTCCCACAGTAAGAAAAGAGAGGGGCAGGGAGAGGCAAGAGAGGGAAGATGGAGAGAGGAGACCCACATCAATGTCCTGCGGAGGGAGTTGCTGCAGGAGGGTCCGAAGCCCAGTCCAGTTGGGGGCTTGGTTGGTGTCCAGGCAAAGGGAACCCAAGCTCAGAACTGAAGGACCCTGAGGAGACATGGAAGAAGGAGAGGAGTGAAACTAGGTTTTTCTTTCTCCTTTCCCCCTAGTCATTGCCACCTCTTCTCCAATCTAGAGCAGCTTCTAAGCATGCCCTCCATTTGGGAGGGTCCTCCTTCCAGATCTTCACTGAGCGCAAGGATAGCTGACTGATGCCTGTATCTGTGGTCTTCCTTGAGGGAGGCTGGGGAGGCCCCACACCCCTAAACAGCTTCCCTTCTTATGCTTTCCCTTCTTAACCCCCTTCACGCCTTGGGGCCAAAGCCCCTAGAGTCTGCTTTGACAACACAGATTCCCTAGAAGAGGTAATGGATATTCATGTGAATGAGTTTAAAGTCAAAAGCCCATGTTCTCAGCAGGTGCAGAGACAGGAATTCCTGAAAAGAGAGAAAGGCAGTAAGAGATTAGGCACGAAGTCAAACTACCTCCGGGTTAGTGGAAAAAGGTGGCCACTCCACAGGAGAGAGGATACGTTGGTCTCAGAGGAAGGGCACAACTCTACTACCTGAGCAGAGGTGTCCTCAGGGTCCTCCGCCGGCAGGTGGCCTGAGTCACTGTCTGAGTTGGCTGGCGGACTTGGATCCTGGGGCTTGGGGCTGTCCTCTTGGTGGGGCCAGCCAGAGTTCTGCACTGACATTAGTGGCAAAGGCTACCCCAAAACAATAAGAAAACCTTCATGTATTAGGCCGTTACAATGTACTAGGAAGTGTTAAGTGCTTTATAGGTATTATTTCCCTCAGTCCTCCCAACACCCAAATGACTGAGGTAGTATTATCCCCGTCTTACAGATGGCCCAACTGAGGATCAGACCATGAGTAACATGCCTGAGGTCAAACAGCCAGTAAGTGGCGGAGCCAGGTCTTGAGGTCATGTCTTTTGGTCCAGAATTTCTGAAGTTCAAAATTCTGGGGTCTCCCAAGATTGGGATGGAGGTAAGCGGAGGCCCATGGTAGAAGGAGAGGGCACTTTGCCTTTCTGGTGGGCCTTTGGGCAGGCTGGCCCCTCTCTCCTTACCTCATCAGCCTTAACTTCCACCATTTCTCACCATGCACCCACAGCCCCAGTGAGCGTGCTTCTTCACAACTTCCTACATGGGTCCAGTTTTTCCAGCTACATAGGCTTGGGCCTCTGGTTAAAGGATCTCCTTACCAGGAAGCCCTTCTCAGCCTCTGTGACCATACCAGCTCTCCCTTCCCTGAGCAACTGAAGCAAGCAGTGCCCCAAGATTCAGTGCCCCAAGATTTAGCACCTAATGTTTTTCTATTTGCTCCCTGCATCTCTCTTGGCTCCTCATCTATAACTTCCTCGAGGACAGGAACACCTTGCACTTTTATATATAGCAGCAATTGCATTGGATAATCTAAGTTCATCTCTTCAGTTTTCATCTTGGCAACTCCTGATATGACCACAATATCTTGGGGGTAAGAAGTGACTATTGGCACAGTGGTTCAGGCCAGTAATCCCAGAACTTTGGGAGGCTGAGGCAGGCGGATCACCTGAGGTCAGGAGATCGAGACCATCCTGGCCAACATGGGGAAACCCCCTCTCTACTAAAAATACAAAAATAAGTCAGGCATGGTGATGTGTGCCGGTAATCCCAGTTACTAGAGAGGCTGAGGCAGGGGAATCGCTCCAACCTACCTGGGAGGCAGAGGTTGCAGTGCAGTGCACTCCAGCCTGGGCGACAGAGTAAGACTCCATCTCAAAAACAAACAAACAAACAAACAAACGAACAAAACTGACTATTAATGTAGAGAAGAGATGAGCCCTGCCCTCAAGGAGCTCATAGTGGGTAAGACAAAGATGAAACCAGGTAGAATGGGATCAGAGCTCTGGGCAGATACAAACCCTGGAGAAAATAACCAGAGCAAACTTTTTAATAATATTTACTCTGTGCCAAGGACTCTTCTAGAATATTATATAATACAGTCCATCCTCACAATAATCTTATGAGGTAATTTCTTTTATTCTACTTGACAGTTGAAACAATTAACTTGCCCAAGATCATACCAGAGGCTAAGGGAAGCCTTAGGGGGATCTGGCTTCTGAGAGCTGGGATGGATTCTCAAAGTAGCTGGGCACAGGAGGGTCATCATCAAATCCCTGGCCTCTGTAAGACCGGGCCAGGGATTTGTATTGGGGTTGAGGTGAGGGTTTGGACTGTAACAGTTAATATTGCTTCCCAGCACTGAACCCTCCACAGCCCCTCCACTCCCACTTCAAATGTCCTGTGCCACCCTTCCCTCCTTCCTGGCTTCACACCCACCTGCTTCCTTCCTCTTCTGTCCCTCAGGTCAGGTTTCCTGTGGAAGGTGGCCAGGATGGGCTGTTCACACCCGGAGTAGCCACTAACAGCACTGCCCCTGCTCCAGGCAGCAAGAAAGGAGGGAGCATCTGGGGCCCCAGGAGAGGACTTGCACCCTCTTCCATTTTAGCTCTAGTTTGCATGGAATTGTCCAACACAGAAACAACGCTCAGAAATCAGGCCTCTACTCCTCACCCTTCCATCTCCCCAAAGGCAGCCAAACTCCACCTCCACCTAGCACTGGGACACCCTTACTAACAGGCCAGCTGGATTCCCTCCATAATTCCCTTCCCCCTCCCACCTCAGATAAGGGACAGAGCTGAATCCCTTGTCTTGCCTCTGTGCAGGTGCAAGAGGGCTCAGGAGCTGGACATCCCCAACCCCCGCTGCCCTGAAGGGCAGAGCCCGAGAGGACTTAGGGCTTGGGGAGGTGGAGGGATGGGAAAATTTCTGGGGACCGTGGGAGGGAGAAGGAAGGGGAGTGCCCGGTCCCGCCGACTGCCCTCTCGGTAGATCCCCAAAGCTTTTCTAGAACTTGGCGGGCCCGCCTCCGGGGCTGGGACGCGGTGTTTCCCGAGTCCGCTGGACTTCCGGGTCTGGCTGCTGGGATTTTAGGGGAGTGGACCAGGACTTGGCTGGGGTCTCACCATCGCTGTGCGTCGCTGTCCGGGCAGTTCTGGACCGACTCTGCCGTCAGGCCCCTCACCCAGACCCACCCGAAGGCGTCAGCGCCCGCCCCCGTCCGCCCCCGCCCGCCCCCGCCGTCACTAATAGAGCGGCCCTTCCTCTCCCACGCCCCAGGGGTCCCCGCCCGCCCCTCCCCTGCTGGTGGAGAGGGGCGGCTCAGGGAGGGGCCTGGAGCTGCAGATTGGGGGCGGGGGGGAAAGCAAAACAAAACCACATTTGTGGGATCCCAGGGTGGAAATGTGCGGGCTCCATGGCCTCTGCCTTGCAGGTGCAGAGGGTCAGGCTGGGACTGCGCCCGGCGGGCATTCAGTAGACGCCGGGAGCCGCGTTTACGCTAGGTTCTCAACCACTCGCTGAATGGTAACGACTCGCCGGGCGCGCAGCCCTGTCCCTCTGCAGTTCCCAGGTCTCCCCAAACTCTCCCTCTGGTCTCCCAGCCCCGCCCCTCCGCGTGTTTCCCTTCAGTTCTCTCCCCCTTGTCTCCAGTGGTCCCCCTGGCCCCTTCCCCTCCCCTCAGCCCTTTTCCGGGTTACATCGTCTTGCCCGTCTCCCTTCAGGTCCCTTCAGACCCTCTCCCCTTCCCTTCGTTTCTCGCCCAACCCTCCGTCCCCTTTTCGCTCGCTGCAGCACCCCCAACTTTGGTGTCCTCAGCCCCGCCTCTGCGCCCCGCCTCCGCCGCAGGCTCCGCCCTTCCCCCCCGCCGGGCTTTCTCAGACCCTGGCCAGGAGCGCCCTCTGGCGTCTGCGCATGCTCACTGCTCCCGATTGCAAAGTCCTCCAAAGGGACCTTCTAGGCTGCGTGCCGGTCGCCCCCGCTCGGGTCCGCCCGCCCGCAGCGTCTCGTTGGTGCTGCCGGTGACCTCCGACCTCGCGGCCGCGGGGCGGGGCGGGGAGGCCTTAGCTCTGGGCGGGCGGCGGCTGCTGCAGCGGGACCCGGGAGCGGGGCCCGGCGCCGCCCGGGCCGCGGGGCGATGTGAGTCGGGGCGCAGCGGGGCGGGGACGAGGCGGCTTCACCGAGGCCGCGTCGCGCCGCGCCGCGCCGCAGTCTCCACTCCCTCCCTAGGAAGCCCCGGGCAGGCGGGCGGCGGAGCACCGGGGCTGGGGGCGGGGATCCGGGGAGAGCGCGCACCCAGACCTCCTCATTCCTTATGGGCGTCTAGAAATTCCCCTGACAGTCCTGCAGACTCTGGCTCCCCTAACCCACCTCTACCCTTTCTGCCCTGGACACACCATCGCATCTCCTGGAGCCCTCAGAACCCCCTCACTCGCTCAGCAAATCTGCTATGCGCACGGACCCAACATTTCTCTTGGATGCCCCCAAATGCTTCCACTGCCCGGAAATTCCTAGGATCCCTCATATCCCTATTCTTGCACTATCCAAAATGTCCACATCCAAAATTCTTGCTCATGTTTCCCCAAACGTCCTCATACGTTATCAGCCCCCACAGCCCCTCTAACTCCTGCCCCTGATCATACCTATCCGAGACCAGAGGCCTCTCCCCATTTCCACTCAATGCAGTCCTTCCTCAGTGAGCTATGTGATACATCCTGATATCTTAAGGAGAAGAGATGGTGATAGGGGAGTGCAACCCCTCCCCCATCTTGCACCCTAGAGTTCTTGGTGCCCCCGCCCTCCCCCCACCCCGTCGGTGGCTCAAGCCCCAGTATTTTCCCAGCAACCTGTCTTTAGTCCTTGCACACCTCCCTGAGCCTGCTGCTTCCTTCCAGAAAATAAGCCAGACCAAGGGGATGGGGTCCTTTTACCTGGAAGTTGTCCAAGGTTGCAGGGTGCAAGGGGCCCTGGGAAGTATTGTTTCTCCAGAGCAGGAATGTGGAATGTCCAGGGGTCTGCAGGGTCCTGGCTTGTTGACTTGTTTACCTTGGGCTCAGAGGCGCTGAAATTTTGGCTTACTGTTAACATTTATGTTGAAATTAGACCTTTCAGAGCTTGGGGAGCAGAAAATCTATCAAGCTTCCAAATGCGAAATTGAAGCAGCCTGTCTTGGAAGAGGAACATGTCAATTTTAGTGATGTTTGTCTTACATTTTTGCCTCTACAAGTTCTTTAAGCTAGAAGCTCCCCAGTTTATAGACAGTTTCCCCAAAAACTAAGACCTTAGGTGGGAGTTGGGGGGTTGACTTAAGTCTCCCAGATACTTAGTAGCAACAAAACTGACTGGAATATTGGTTTCCTGAATCTTAAACCAGTGTGCTCTCTACTATATCACAGTGTCCTTTTGAGAAAGCTCTTTGTAGAGTTAAAATTCTCTGCAAAGGTAAGGTGATGGTTTTGATGTTTGTTGTAACAGGACTCAGAGGGAGACCTAAAGTGACTTAAAAGGCCTTGGCCAGGCGTGGTGGCTCACACCTGTAATCCTGGCACTTTGGGAGGCTGTGGCGGGTGGATCACAAGGTCAGGAGATCAAGACCATCCTGGCTAAGATGGGGAAACCCTGTCTCTACTAAAAAAATAAAACAAAAAAATTAGCCGGGCGTGGTGGCAGACGCCTGTAGTCCCAGCTACTTGGGAGGCTGAGGCAGGAGAATGGCGTGAACCCAGGAGGCAGAGCTTGCAGTGAGCTGAGATCGCGCCACTGCACTCCAGCCTGGGCGACAGAGTGAGACTCCATCTCAAAAAAAAAAAAAAAAAGGCCTTGGGTTGTCTTAGACTTCAAACTCATTGATGCTCCGGGAGTCTGTCCCTCTCAGGGCCCATGGGGCTTGGAATTTGTGCTCTCTTTGCCCTTGATTTTCCTTTTTTCATTGGTGTTTTTGTCCCATTAGGGCTGAAACAGATATCCAGGTGGGATGGACTGCCAGGTCAGTTTCATTAACAGTTGGGGGTGAAGATAGAAGGTTTTATTAATCAGTGTCTCTGTTTCCTATGCTAGGTGAGCCCCAGGTGTATCCCAGAGGGATCCGGGTGACTTCTCTGCAGACTGTTTGCCATGACAGCCCAGCAAGGACAGGGGGAATAAAGTGGGAACCCTTCCCCATGCCCTTCCCAATGGCCTGGGTGAGGTAAGAGCTGTGTATAGGAGTCAGTTTTATGGCGTTTCCCAAGTTGGGAGGAACAGGATACAGGTCACTGGTTATTCAGAGCTTTACCATTCAGCAGGAGTTCTAGAAGGATAGCCAATCCTACAGACTCATTTCTTGTGACAAGTTGCAACCCCTTAAAACTTCTGCTTGGTATTGGTCCATGCGTTTCTTGTTCCCTTAGGTCATTCAGGCCTGGGTGGTGTCCTCTTCATTCTAGGCACAGCCCTGACTGTTGTGACATGTAATCCAAGTACCAGAATCCTGGAGGGAAGAGCCAAATAGTAAGGCCTCTGGTCTCCCCTTCAGACAAAGGGAAGCAAACCCAGCATTTTTTGTGTGTGAAGAAATATCCAATTGAGGTTATTAAAATTGTGCACTGTTTTAAATGTTCAGTCTTCCGAATGTATCTTTTTGATCACAATGTAACAACTCATTTGAAGAGGATATCAAAAAGATAAATTTGTGCTGGATGTTGGGATGGTAGTAAGAGAAAAGAGAGAACTTGGATGAAGTGGAATGGATGAGGTAAAAAGGGAGGAAAAAAGAGACAGGTACAGGCCAAAGTGTCTGATACCCCCCAAGTGACAATTTCTTTGCTGAATCCAAATAAGGGCCTTGGGTTGGCACCCACCTCCATCTGCTGTAGATCACTTCTCCTGGGCCCCTACTTTTCTCCCTGCCTATGTCCTTCCCTTGTCATTACATGGGTCAGAATCCTACATACTTCTCAAGGTCCAGATCAAAGGTTATCTCTGAGAAGCTCTCTCCAGCCCCTCATCAGCATTCATCCTTAACACATTGTAACTTGAATTAAGGTTTATCAAATGTGTGTCTGGCCTGGATTGAGAATGTGAAGTCTTTGAGGGAGGGTCTGTATCACACAGTCTCTTGGACAGAGTAGGTGATCACAATGAGGTGCTTCTTCCTGAGTTCCCCAGAGCAGGGTTTTTTGAAGCTGAAATTGGTGATCTGCATATCCTGTATGTTTTTCCTAGGGCAGGCTGGCTGCTCTGACACCATGGGGAGCTGCTGCAGCTGCCTGAACAGAGACAGCGTTCCGGACAACCACCCCACCAAGTTCAAGGTACCCAGAGCCCTCTCCTCTCCTGCGTTCCCAACATGGCCTCTTGGGCTCAGACACAACTTAATGGAGTTGTCTCCGCTTCTCTAACAGCAAACAAATGCCAGGCTGAGTTGTAGGCTTATGGAGACTTCTCGAGCTCACACCCTCTCAAGTAGCCTGAGGAAAAGAGGCCCAGACTACTGCTGTTTTCATGGCTCTTGATATTACCAAGAATGAAAAAATGCCATAATGATGCTTTTGGAACTGTTGTCAGTGTGTTTTTATACCTTTATATATCCCCCCCTTTTGTTTTAGAGAAAACAAAATTCTGTATTTGTGAGTTAATATGTGTAAAGTATTTAAAATAGTGCTTAGTGGCCAGGCACAGTGGCTCACGCCTGTAATCCCAGCACTTTTGGAGGCCAAGGCGGGCGGATCACCTGAGGATCAGGAGTTAGAGACCAGACTGGCCAACATGGCGAAACCCCATCTCTACTAAAAATACAGAAATTAGCCAGGTATGGTGGCACACGCCTGTAATCCCAGCTACTTGGGAGGCTGAGGCAGGAGAATCATTTGAACCCAGGAGTTGGAGGTTGCAGTGGGCCGAGATCCCACCAGTGCACTTCAGCCTGGGCGACAGAGTGAGATGCCATCTCAAAAAATAATAAATAAATAAATAAAATTAAATAGTGCTTAGCACACAGTAAGCACAACATCAGTGTTTGCTGTTTGCTGTGGGAAGCTGAGGGCAGACCCAAGTCCACCTGTGCGCTCCCCTGCCCCACCTCTCTGTAGAGGGAGCTTCCTTCCTCCTCATTCTGGGGCATCTTGAAGCACATGTTTCTCCAGCCCACCAGAAGAGGGAGCCCTCAGCAAGGGCACGCAGCTGGGGACGGGGTAGAGGAGATATGTGTTGGTTCTGCCTTGGGCTTGACTTTCCTAGGTCAGGGTGTCCCAGTCTCAAGAGTTTGAATTTACAATTGAACTCCTTCCCCATTAACACCTGGCCCTTGGATACTAAGCCATGGGCTGTCTGGGGTCATCTAACATTTGTTATCTAACCGACTGACCTTGGAGGTCAACTGCCTACTTCTTCCCTCACTGTCCGTATGACAAAACTCAGCCCCAGAGAAGTGGGATTTGCCCAGTGAACTGCTGTGGGTCCATGAAACTGCTTCATATAGTTATGTAGCATTCAGTAGAGTCTGTGATAGTCAGATGTGACCTTTGGTTCTCCACCTCTTGTCCTGCATCAGATTGTCTCCCAGTGGCTCAGGGACCCATGCGAACACTTGTTGGACTCACTCGTTGACCCTTCTGTCCTCTCCCCTCCAGGTGACAAATGTGGATGACGAGGGGGTGGAGCTGGGCTCTGGTGTGATGGAGCTGACGCAGAGTGAGCTGGTGCTGCACCTGCATCGGCGTGAGGCCGTCCGCTGGCCCTACCTCTGCCTGCGGCGCTATGGCTATGACTCCAACCTCTTCTCCTTTGAGAGTGGCCGCCGATGTCAGACAGGTCAGGGTGAGTACCAGGCCCTGCTCCACCGTGGGATAGGGGCTTATGCAGGACTCTGGGGTTCCTAATGTACAGATTAGCCCTCAAGAGGTTAATGTTGTCCCCATCACCTGTGGGCAGTAGAGTGTGATGTATTCTCCCTGCAGTCAGAGGTCAGGGGTGGTAGGTTATTCCATGAGATCAAGGCTAGAGCCAGCCACGGCTCTCTGAAGGAGTGGCATCGTCTGGGTTTATCTCAGGATTCAGACTTAAGCTGTGCAAAAGGAATACTGTATGGGATTGTGTTCAGTGCAGTTTGGGATTATGACTATGCAGAGGTGGAATGAAGAAGCTTCTCTGATGAGGCTGCCAACAAAATAGTGAGCCTCTGAGGTCATGTTTGCTGGAGGAGACATCCCTCCATACATCTTACCCTTGGAGTTCATGAGGCAGAGGCATGGGCACTGGGTGAGCAGGCAGAGTGGGCAGAGATATCCTTGCTTCTAGTGATGTTTGATCTACACTTGGGTTCCCAGGGGGGCTACCCCTGGCCCCAGCACAGGGTTCCCTGCAACTCCAGGCTTTCTCAGTCTTTTGTATTTCTCGTCGTATTTTGCCAGAGTAGTTCTTTTTCTTCACTATTTCCTCCCCATCCTATTTGTGCAAACCACAGTTATCCCATTCCACAGCCTAATTGTGTCTTACTTGTGGGTATATGCACAGGCACACCCCAAGTAGCCTCCCCTAGGTCCCAGGTCCCCCTGTTACAGAGGGGAGTGTAGGAGTCCAGGCTGGCCCAAGACCCCAGGGGCATCTTTGAGTCCCCTGATTCACAGACACTCAGTCCAGTCCTGCTGTTCCTGGGACCTTGAGTTGCAGTGTTGCAGTTTGAAGGGCTGTAAGGCTGGCTGCATTGAGGAGCCATGTGATTGCCTTGCCATATTTGCCTTTAGCTAGTCTGCCCATCATTTCTTTCTTCCCACACCAGAGTTTAATGTATGAGGTCAGGGACCTGTATACAGTAGGCATTCGCTTTCTGGCCACGCACTGGGCTAATAAGTGAATAAGCAGGGAACAGAGTAGACCCTCTTGTCATCAGTGATCTGAGGACTGGTGCTCTGGATGGAGCTTTTTTCCCTAGGAAGCAGGGGGTGTTAGGCAGAGGAAGATGGGGGCAGCATGTGAGGTGGAATGTTCACTCACCTGGCCGGGTGCAGTGGCTCACACCTGTAATCCCAGTACTTTGGAAGGCCAAGGTGGGTGGATCACGAGGTCAGGAGATGGAGACTATCCTGGCTAACACGGTGAAATCCCGGAGACTATCCTGGCTAACACGGTGAAATCCCATCTCTGCTAAAAATACAAAAAATTAGCCGGGTGTGAGTATTGGCCACCTGCAATCCCAGTACTTGGGGCGCTGGCGTGGGTGACTAATGGCGGGTCGGTGGGAGGATGACGAGGTCAGGAGATGGAGACTATCCTGGCTAACACGGTGAAATCCCGTCTCTGCTAAAAATACAAAAAATTAGCTGGGTGTGGTGGCGGGCGCCTGTAGTCCCAGCTACTCGGGAGGCTGAGGCAGGAGAATGGCGTGAACCCAGAAAGCGGAGCTTGCAGTGAGCCGAGATCACGCCACTGCACTCCAGCTTGGGCGACAGGGTACCCTGCCCCACCACGCCCACACCACATTGAACACTCCAGCTATATTCCTCTGAGGTGAAATCATTTTCATAAGGATGTGTGAGTTCAGGTATCACAAGAAGAGAATCAAAATCAAGGTGGAGGCCGGGCATGGTGGTTCACGCCTGTAATCCCAGCACTTTGGGAGGCCACAGCAGGCGAATTACCTGAAGTCAGGAGTTTGAGACCAGCCTGACCAACATGGTGAAACCCCATCTCAACTAAAAATACAAAAAATTAGCTGGGCATAGTGTCAGATACCTGTAATCCCAGCTAATTGGGAGGCTGAGGCAGGAGAATCTCTTCAACCTGGGAGGTGGAGGTTGCAGTGAGCTGAGATCGTACCATTACACTCCAGCCTGGGCAACAAGAGTGAAACTCCGTCTCAAAAAAGAAAAGAAAAAGGATGCTCGGGATGAGAAGAGGCTCTCCTGCCCCACAGGACTGGGACTGGAGTTCAGGGACATTTCCTGCACATTATGCATCTGTTGAGCTCCTCTGGTCCTTCCCTATTGGGCCCAGGGTCATTTCTTCCTCTCCTTTCCAGGAATATTTGCATTTAAGTGTTCCCGGGCTGAGGAAATCTTCAACCTCCTTCAGGATCTGATGCAGTGCAACAGCATCAATGTGATGGAAGAACCTGTCATCATCACCCGCAATAGCCACCCCGCTGAGCTTGACCTCCCTCGAGCCCCCCAGCCACCCAATGGTAAGGAGACCCCAGTGTATACACACGCACAGGCCCAGGAAGCACAAATCTTGGAGGGATGAGTCGAGCTGGCAGGTTAGGGGAAGGCTGAGTGAGCCAGCCTTCCAGGACAGTTGTCCATAATCAGAACCGTTCTTGAGGATCGATAAATCCTGGGCTGGGCTAGGTGACTCAGGCTGAGGCTGTTGAGTCCTGGGCCTTGTATTGACGGATGGTTGGGGAGCAGACAGGAAGACTTTGGGTTTCCGTAGAAACGGCAGTCTGGAGTTTTTTTGCTTTCTTCCTCTGTCTATTGGGTCATCCCCATATACTTTCCTTGCTGCTGGTGCAGGCATCTCTGGCCATGACTGTATTCTGGAGAGGGTCCTACAATTTCTGCTTATTCAGTCATTGAATTCAGACCAGGCACCTGCTTGGTGTTCTGCGCTCCCTGGACTGGCCCATGGGGGACAGGAGAAATAGAAGCACAGTCCTTTTTTTGAGGAGCTTCCCTGGACCTTACTGGCAGACCTAGAATGAAGCAAAAGGATGGTCCAGTGACAACAAGATGTGCTTTATGCATTTTGGGTGAGGCTATAATGGAGACAGTGTTGAGGTGCTTCAAGCTGAGCTTGAGGGAAAGGGCAGGGTTTGAAGAGCAGAGGAAAGATGAAGGATAATGGGGGCTGGTGGCTCAGTGGGGTTTAACCACTGTGAGGCCCTGAGAACATCTCTCCTCCATTGGAGGAGTCCCAGAATGCCGCACACACAGCTGCAAGTGGTTGTCAGGTGGCTTAAGTTCCCCTCCCCTGGACTTGTCTCCCCTGTGTCCAGCTCTAGGCTACACTGTCTCCAGCTTTTCCAATGGCTGCCCTGGAGAAGGCCCACGATTCTCAGCTCCCCGGCGGCTCTCAACGAGCAGCCTACGGCACCCCTCGCTTGGGGAAGAGTCCACCCATGCCCTCATTGCTCCTGATGAGCAGGTGAGCAAGCAGCCAGCCAGCCCCTACCCTGTTGGTCTGGGTGGGGATGAGGGATAGGAAATAAGGCCACCTCCTCCCAGTAAGGATCACGGGAAGGGGAAGAACATTGTTAGGGTCCCTTCCTGTCCCTAAAAGGGAGTAGCTTCCTTGGAAGAGTTGGAGGACAAGGAAGAAGAAACTCCAGCTCTTTTTCTGTGTGCTTTTCTTCTCTCATCTTGTCCCTTCTGTTCTCTTTTCTCCCTGCCCTGGGACACTCCTGCCTCACTTGGACTCTCTGTCCCCAGTCCCACACCTATGTCAACACACCGGCCAGTGAAGATGACCACCGCAGGGGCCGCCACTGCCTGCAGCCCCTGCCTGAGGGTCAGGCGCCCTTCCTCCCGCAGGCCCGGGGTCCTGACCAACGGGACCCACAGGTGTTCTTGCAGCCAGGCCAGGTGAAGTTTGTGTTGGGCCCGACCCCTGCTCGGCGGCACATGGTGAAGTGCCAGGGCCTCTGTCCCAGCCTGCATGACCCCCCACACCACAATAATAACAATGAGGCCCCTTCCGAGTGCCCAGCCCAGCCCAAGTGCACCTACGAGAACGTCAGCGGGGGGCTGCGGCGAGGGGCCGGCTGGAGACTGAGTCCAGAGGAGCCGGGCTGGAATGGCCTTGCCCACCGCCGGGCCGCCCTGCTGCACTATGAGAACCTGCCCCCGCTGCCCCCTGTGTGGGAGAGCCAAGCCCAGCAGCTGGGAGGGGAGGTTGGGGATGATGGGGACTCAAGGGATGGGCTCACACCCTCTTCCAATGGTTTCCCTGATGGTGAGGAGGACGAGACCCCACTTCAGAAGCCCACCAGCACCCGGGCCGCTATCCGCAGCCATGGCAGCTTTCCTGTGCCACTGACCCGCCGCCGCGGCTCCCCAAGGGTCTTCAACTTTGATTTCCGCCGGCCGGGGCCCGAGCCCCCAAGGCAACTTAACTACATCCAGGTGGAGCTAAAGGGCTGGGGTGGAGACCGCCCTAAGGGGCCCCAGAACCCCTCGAGCCCCCAAGCCCCCATGCCCACCACCCACCCTGCCCGAAGCTCAGACTCCTACGCCGTGATTGACCTCAAAAAGACAGCGGCCATGTCCAACCTGCAAAGAGCTCTGCCCCGAGACGATGGCACCGCCAGGAAAACCCGGCACAACAGCACCGACCTGCCTCTGTAGGGACGTCCCGGTCCTCACCACCCTCTGCCCCACCGTGATCCAGCCTCTGCCTCACACTCCTGTCCTCTGAACCTACCCTCCCCAGGGTTCAGGGTTGCTTTGCAGAAGGCACGGAGGTGGGACCAGATGCTTTCCTCTGCTGGCTGGAGTCTCCTGGTCTGTCTCCAGGCTGGGGAGAGAAGGGTGACCAGGCGAGGAGGGAGCCGAGACATCAACTGTGAAGGGTTCCTGTGATTGCGTTTAGCGCCCTCCCGTTCCGTCCATTTGTCTTGTCTGCTGACTGTCCGTGTGTGTTTTTTTTGGTTGGAATTTTGAAACATTTTGTACCTGTTGATTTTATTTATCAGTTTATTTTTCTATTTATTGTTTTAAATGTAATTTAACATATTTATTATTAATATAATTATTTTTAAATTCTGGCCCAGTGGATATCATCTTCTTAGGGAATCTTTTCTGGTGTGGTACTGAGTTGGACACAGGGCAGGCCTAATCGAGGTAAGGGTTTCACTCTGGGGAATTTGGGGCAGTTATGGTTTTTGTGACAAGTCTGTGATTTTTTTTTTTTTTTTTGAGACGGAGTTTCGCTTTTGTGGCCCAGGCTGGAGTGCAATGGTGTATGATATCAGTTCACTGTAACCTCTGCCTCCCGGGTTCAAGCAGTTCTCCCGCCTCAGCCTCCCAAGTAGCTGGGATTACAGGTGTCTGCCACCACTCCCAGCTAATTTTTGTATTTTTAGTAGAGATGGGGTTTCTCCATGTTGGCCAGCCTGGTCTCGATCTCCTGACCTCAGGTGATCCACCCACCTCGGCCTCCCACAGTGTTGGGATTACAGGCATGAGCCACCACGCCCGGCCAGTCATTTATTGTTCTCCTCCAAGAAGCCCTGGCCATGAACTTAAAGTTGCCGGGGACGGATGCTCTGTTGAAGGAAAGCGGTGGGATGGCTGGAGTCCTAGAAGCCAAAAGGGGGTCCTGTGAGGACTGCCCTAATGAGGTAGAGCCCCAGCCGTCTGAGGCTGACAACAGGTGGGGAGTGCAGTGGAGTGGACACAGCTACAGAAGAGATACCTTCACCTTCTCGGGGAGCCTTCACTGACGCCCTTGAAGTAGGCAGGCCCCAAAGGGCACTGCTGTCCTTTACCACCTTGGCCCAGAGATGGACCCTGGATCCTTCTTAGCTGCCCCCAGCATGGCTGAGTCAAGACTAGACCTTTAAACAGGACTTTACTAAAATCCCAGGATTATCGCAAAATGAAAAAACATGGTGTAATGTGTAACTAGATAATCTGGCTTGCTAAGTGTCTTTCCTAGAGAATGTCTCTTCAGGAATGGACTGTTAGGATGCCTCTACCCTGCCACAAGGCTGGGCGCTAACAGAGCCGCCACATTGGAGCACCTGCCTAGAAGCGCAGGGTCCAACAGGAATGTGCTGCACACACACCCTAGTGCTGATTCGTTCCAGGAGCTCCTTTCTCTGTCCTGAGGCTGCCTCTCTCCTCTTCCTTCTCCTGCTGGCTTCCTTTCCTCCAAAACTCCATTTCTATCTGAAACCCCAGTGCGGTTCATCTAAAGGAAATCCTGCTTTTGTGATAAGCCACTCAGGGCCCAGGTGAAGAATGAGAGCTGTGTTTGTCCAACTTGGGGAAAAGCCTTGTCGCTGTTTGTGCCCCCAGCTCCTTGTCCTGTGGAGCAAGCAGACCTGTCCTCTTCCTCACCAAGGAAACAAGCCCAGGCAAGACACCCCATCCAGTTCCCTCCCCCTCCTACTGTCCAGGACACTGCTGCCTGGGCCTCATTTCCTGGAGCTCACCTCCACTGAGTGGGGGTTGGACTGGCAAGCTTCCAGACCCCCCCGACCTCAGGTGTCACTTTCTGTCAGTGAAATGGGCAGTGACAACTGGCCACAACAGGATGTGAAAAGGCCCTTCGAGTGGGGCCCAGCAGAGCTCAAGAGGGCAGCTGCCACAACCCCAGAGCTGGCACCAAACCCTTCTCCCCCTTATATCCTTTTGATCTCTGGACCAGAGGGGTCACCTGCTGCAGGTTGGATTCATTGCAGTTTTCCACGCTGTGGTAGGGAAATGCCGTCTTCTCTCTGCAGCTTATCCAAGCAGTTCAATTCTGTTTGGATGTCCTCATACACTTGCCCCTGCTACTACTCGTGACCTCCACAGTCGGGGTGGTGGGTGTCTCCGAACAGGAGGGTGGATGTGGGGGAGCAGGTATGGCTATGCCAGGACCAGAGTTAGGGGTCCTGGCCGTGCTTGGGACTCATGTGTCAGTGCAGGTTCCGCCTTATCAATGGATAGATACTATGATGCGGTAGCCAGAGGCTGGCTTAAGAGACCCAGGGTCCTGACCTGGTCATTATCTCTGCTACCTTAAGCATTTGGTTACCCAAATGGGCTCAGTTTTTGCACTTGGAAGACATGGAGCTGGTATGAGAAGTAACCAATGAAACGATGAACATGGCACCACGTTGGAAGTAGACAAGACTCCTGCAAGTTGTATTAACAACCCAGCTGTTCCCTTAGAAGTCACAAATCTTAAGTCCCTCAGGCTGTCGCTTTGCTGAACAAATCAAGAAGGGGCAGTTATTCTCATTCTCTGGGTCCCCAGATCCTGGCCTGACCCGTGGGGTCTCCCTAGAGCAAGTCATAATTGCTTCGATGAGCATGTTTGTGGGGCTTGGGGGAGTCGACTTGCAGCTCAGTGTGGCCCCCAACCTCTCCTGTCCCCTCCCCTGGTCACTGCTTCTGGCCCATGGGGTCTACTACAGGAATTTTCCTCTCGAGGGAAGGACAGGGTGTGAGTGGACAGCTTTCCTGGCGGGAAGGGGTGGGTGGGAGCGATGCACAGGAGGGTAACTGCCGCCCCTGTGTTTGAGCCCGCCCTGCCGACAGGGTGTGGTGCACAGATAGAATCAGTTTCCATCACCATCATCATCCAAAGATCATCACCAACATCAGTACGTGTTTGCCGAGTGCTGGGTTCTCTTCTTTAGAAACAGGTCCTACCCACCCCTGGGCTGCCCTCAGGAAAGGACAGGATCCAGCATCCTGTCTGGGAGTGACATTTCAGGTCAGACCAGGAGGGGCCCTCCCCAAGGTCCCCCCGGGTAATAATAGCACTTTACAAGGGTATAAACACAGTCAGCTTTCCACAGGGCCTTGTTATTTATCTTTATCAGGACTCACTGGCGGGATGTTATCATCACTGTACAGAGGAGGAAACAGGCCAAGAGGTGACGTAACTTGCCTCGGGCCATGAAGTTAATTGGTGGCTTGGGCTAGGGCTGGGTGCCGGTCGTGTGTCTCCTCCACCCCCGCTCCCTGCCTGGCCTGAAAGAGCCTCGTTCCCTCAGGTGGGCTGCCGGGAGACTGTGTTGGGTGCTTCTGCCTGGGTTGAGTCCCAGCAGGGGATCACATTCCAGTGCTCCCACTTAGGAATCCTAAAATCCAAGGCAGGGCCTTCTCAGTTAACTACAGGGTGACCTTGCTGTCCCCTGGGGCCTGCCCTACGCCCACCTACCAACTCTGCCCCTCTACTCTCATTTCCTCAGAAATGGCTCCTGGTTGTATCGATGGGAGAGGCCAGGGCAGGTGTGCAAGAAGCAGCTTGACTTCACTCGCCCCTGCCTGCCTCTCCGGAGAGCAAATCAGCCTCATGGGAGGCCCTCAGAGCTTAGGCTCCCTGAGTTCTGGGGCGCTCTCTGACCAATATCTTCAAGGGGCGTCCTACTCACAGGTGGGGGGCTTGTAATGAGGCACCCTTGGGCCTTCAGAAAGGTATAGGGAGGGCTGAGGCAAGGGTGGGGAGGGCTTCAGGGCTCTGTATAGTTCACAGGGTCCAAGATAGAATCTCAGAGCTTGTAGGGCAGCTAAACTAGGACCCATCCAGGGATTTCTGCAACAGGATTCCTGAAGATGTTTATCTAGTGTTTGCTCACACATTTCCAGGACGGGGAGCTCACTACCTAACAAACCCTCCCTCGACTCAAGTCTTATGAAGTCCCTACAATTCTTCCCATTGGGTCCTAATTTCTGCTCCTGGATCGGAGCATGGCTAAATCTAGTCTCTCTGCCAAGGGTGCTGAACTTTGAAAGTTGGCGTCACTACTTACTAACAACTTGACTCATGCCCCAGTTTCCTCATCTGTCACACAGGGATAATAACAGTTGTTATGAGGGTCAAACAAAAGAATGTCTACCCAGCATGAACCATGGCGACTGCCCATGGTAGGTGCTCAGTAAGTGGCAGATGTTATTTTTACCTGAACATGTTTGCTTGCTTGCTTGCTTGCTTGCTTGCTTTCTCTCTCTCTCTCTTCTCTCTCTCTCCCCTCTCTCTCTTTCTTTCTTTCTCTCTTTCTCTCTCTCTCCTCTCTCTCTCTCTTTCTTCTCTCTCTCTCTTCTTTCTCTTTCTCTTTCCTTTCTTTCCTTTCTTTCTTTCTTTCTTTCTTTCTCTTTTTTTGAGATGGAGTCTCACTCTGTAGCCCAGGCTGGAGGGCAGTGGTGTGATCTTGGCTCACTGCAACCTCCGCCTCCCAGGTTCAAGCGATTCTCCTGCCTCAGCCTCCCGAGTAGCTGGGATTACAGGTGCCCGCCACCACACCCAGCTAATTTTTGTATTTTTAGTAGAGACGAGGTTTCACCATGTTGGCTGGCCTCAGACTGGTCTCAAACTCCTGACCTCAAGTGATCTGCTGTCCTTGGCCTCCCAAAGTGCTGGGATTACAGGCATGAGCCACCACACCCGGCCCTGAACATGGTTCTTTCCAGCATGGCTAGGTGTCTACCACTTTGTGTTCTAGTTTGACCCAGAACTGAGTACCCGACTTAGCATAAGTATAATGTCCAAGTTAGCACTTTCCTGGCCCTGTTGGCTTTTGGGCCCTTAAAGCTGATCCTGACCTGAAATCACCAGGTCTCCACTTAAACAACTGCAGCATTCCTCACCCCTGACCCCTTCTATGTTGGAGTCCTTGGCTTGTTAACTGTCCATTCATTCAGGTGACATTTCTTCTTGATGACTGGAGTCTGTTCCGGAATTTAGAGGCACTAAATTGTCGCTAAGACAAGTGAAGAGTAGAGAGGGGTGGCTAGGGGTGTCTGAGGGAAGTGTCTGGGAGCAGGGTCTCCGCTGAGGGTGGATCGTGAGGCTGGAGTACCTGGAGCTCTCAGCCAAGTGCTTCTGGGAACTTGGTTCCGTGAGCCCCCTGACAAGAAGGTCTTCTCGCCACTTGTTCTTTTTCTTTGTTTGTTTGTTTGTTTGAGACAGAGTCTCACTCTGTCACCCAGGCTGGAGTGCAATGGCATGATATCGGCTCACTGCAACCTCCACCTCCCAGGTTCAAGCGATTCTCCTGCTTCAGCTGGGATTATAGGCACCCGCCACCACGCCCAGCTAATTTTTGTA